GCCATGGCTACTTCCTACAACTAGCTTGTTATTAGAGTGAGTGTCTATTTATCTAGAAAGTGAGGATGATTACTTTGTCCTTCGTCTCGCGCGGCGCCGTGCGATAACTGAGTCATGCTTGAGCGTGAATGGATGGAGGATGGATGCAAAAGCTTCACCGCTTTCTTTCGAAGACTCGACTCCAATGGCACTTTGTCTGGGCTACGCAATTGACAGTGCATCGACAGAGGTAGTCCAAGGGATCAGCACCAAGGCCAAGCTCGATTGAAACGTGCAATCAATCCGTTGTCGAGCACCGCGAGCGCTGATAGTCAGGTCGATCTCGTCGGTGATTTTGGAGTGGAATGAGATAGCATTGCTGCAGAGAGCAAGGAACGATAAATCACGGACAATCTACACTGTTAGGAAAAAGCCAACACAACATTTTTTTTGGCCGTCAGAGAGAGATTGATTTTGGTGGAATATTTGAATATATAGCCTGAACCATGGCGAAGAAAAAGGGTGGGGATGACGCTTCCAAAAAGTCAGTGCAAAAGAAGAAAAATCAAGCCATTGAGGATAAGACATTCGGACTGAAGAACAAGAACAAGTCCAAGAAGGTGAGTGCGACAATGACTGCATATCCATACAGTGGATGAAATCTACGTGATGGATTGCTCAACAAAATTGTATACTATCAAATCCATTCGTACGATACGGTAGGTCCAACAACACATCCAATCAGTCCAGAAAAGTGTATTGAACAGTGGAGATCCCAGGCAACGGAAGCAGGATGAGGCTCGCGCCAAAGCCAAGGCAGACGCCAAGGCCCGAAAGAAAGCCATGAAGGAAGAACAGGATGCCTTGTTTGGTGCAGCTCTATTAGCAGTTTCCAAGAAAAAGACAACCGACAAAAAGGGTGGAAAGGTGGAAGCCAAGGGACGAGATGCTGACGATGAGGGAAACAAGAAGAGTACCAGTCGAGCCATGAAGATGATGTGTGAGTAGAGCAGTTCGAGTATTGTATTGTGGTTTGTTTTGTTGCCAATCCATGTTATTATTTGCATTTCGCTGACGTACGTATTCCACTATGTTTCTATTTTTCTCCATGATATAGTCCAAATGGATGCTCAGGAAATGAATGATAAACTTCGAGAAGATGTGAGTATGATGGATTCTGGTGGATTAGTTCCCGATCCAATTTGTTTGTATCTCCTGACTTATTCATGCCTGCGTTACGTTACCGGTATAGCCCAACTATGTTCCAACATTGGAAGATGAAATTGAAATGCAACGACAAACGAAGATTGAGGAATTGAAAAAGTCAGGCAAGAGTACACCCATCACAGAAGCAACTTTCAAAGAATGGCAAGAACGAAAACGAAAAGCCAAGGCAGAAGCTGCCAAGAAACTGGTGGAGGCCGAGATGAAAAAGAAAAAGGGAGGAAAGGGATTGGCAGTACTCAGTGGAAGAGCCTTGTACGAGTACAAAAAGTCCTTATTCACGGCTGGAGACGAAGAAGAAGATGTGGATACATCCATTCCAGAGCCAGACGACGAGGACACTACTGCAACCAACAACGACACTACTACTGAACAAGAACAACAACAATCCGCAACAACCAATGGTGATGTGGCAAATGTGGCTGCCAAAGTGGAGACGGATCTGTTTCTGGAAGGAGATGACGATGATTTAGACGACCTTGAGGATGACTAGCCATTTCTCCCTTTTTAAAACACACTCAGACCTACAACCAGCTACTAATAAGACGTTTCCTGATTCCACCTCAGCAACAATCACTGACAGTTTTTCCTGAAGACAGTTTTCCTGAGTAGTCTTATAGCCACAACTACAAGCTTGGTAGTTAGTTAGTTGCTAGCTAGCTAGAAGCAAGTATCAAATGGAGCAAGTGCACAAAACGGTTCAGAAATTGTTGCTGCTCTATGAATTCTGCTCATTATTGTCAGCAGCTGGCTTTTTATAATGAGTTATTACTCGTCTTCCACGTCTTCATCATCATCCAATCCGGGATGCAATTTGGACCATGCGTGCTGATCATTGTCTGGATTGAATTCCTTGTTTTGTTCGGGATCCAATCCTTCCATATACCGTCTCATTTTGCTCAACTTTTCGTCGCTGAAATCTCCCGCAATAGCTCGAGCCCGGATCTCCTTTTGCAACTGGAGAATCTGATCGTGTACTTCTGCTCGCGACAGCTCCGAAGTTGGTTTCTTGATGGTGAAATCGTACCAACTGGGCACGTATTTTTCACGAAACTCCTTGTCCTGGGCAATGCGCTTCCCGAGAAAAGGACTGGCGCAAAAGGCTGCCATAAAGGCCACGACAACCCCAATCTGCACGTAATTCGTAGATGGACCCGTCTTGTTTCTGGATGGCAATTCTCCTCGTAATTTCGCCAGTCGAGCATGGTGATAGGACTTCATGGTTTCGTTGGCTTCATGGAGCACCTGCTGACGAGCGGCTTCTTTCTCAGTAGCTATTTCGGCAGCCGTCGGGGGCTTGCTTGGGGAGTCTGAAAAGTGCTTCTTCTGGGGGATGCGTCTTCGAGCCACACTATTGCGGCTGCTAGCAGAAGCCAGGGCCAAACGCTGCGAGTTGGTTGCAGCCAATCGGTACATGGTGTATGATGGTTGCGCTCTTCTACCGTATTCATTAACCAAAGAATGTGCCTCTTTATGGATTTGAAGATGAGCTTACCGTACCGGTACCAGGTACTAGTACTACCACGCGGTTGGAGCGATGGTGTTGTCATCGTGTCATCGTCGTGGTGTGTTTTGGTTGCCAAAAACCAAGAAGATTTCTGAGTCAGGCATGCATTCAACTCTGACACGTGATTCCACTCGTGACTCCGTCATTGGCGTTCAAATCTTTTGAAGCCCCAGGTTTTCTGAAAGGGAAAAAGCACAAGGAGAAGATGGACAATGACGAGAAGGAGCAGGTAGAACTGGCACTGCGCGGGTTCCGCAATGCTGTAGAGTGCTTTTGTCGCCGCAACCATGCCGACGGTGCTAGTAGTAAGCTAGTCCATCCCTTACTGGACCACACAGAGTTTTTGGTGCGGCAATTGACCCGAAAGCGTCGATCACTCGAACATGGATTGACGTTTCTGCAAACGACCCTGTGGCCGCAGGAAATCTTACATCGCTTTCTTTCATCGGATCACCGCACGCGGGTGGCATTGCTCACACACTTTCTCAATCAGTGCCTGCGGTTGCACGATGGAATCCTGTTGCTAGTCAGTGGCGAGTGTCGTCATGCCGCTGACATTCGGAGAGCCAAGCGGAGTAAATTCCAATCCAAACTCAAATCACAAGAACTCCGTCCCGATGGATACACCAAACTGTTCAATGCTCCAGGAGGATACACAGGCTATGGCTGGGATGAATTCCTCGACCAACAAGTGGGGGTTCGACAACGATTGTTGCAGACACTCCAGAAAATTTCCATCAACAAGAAGAAAAAGACAAGAAAATCATTGGACCAAATTTGGGATGCCCTCATGGCCCAGGGAGGAGAGGCATTGGAGGCACTCTTGGACACTCATGAGTCTAAAATGAAATTAATTCAACAAGGATTCACTGCGCTCAGGGATTCTGTGGTGCGAGATCTCAAGAAAACCGCCAAAATCCAAAATAATGTCAAGGTGGCATTTGTGCTCTATGACAAAATGGAAAAATTGACTTACGGAACCATTGAAATTAGCCGAAAAGGAGATCAATTTCAAGTCAACGATCCACAGGGAGCATTGCCCAGTGGATACACGGTTCAGGATTGGAGCAAAGTGATGGCGCTTCCTAAATCAGTTGTTCAATCAAAAAGCTCGGGCAAGGAGACCAAAAATAGCAAGAAGACTTATGCCGGAAACAAGCGGCGTCGAGTCATTGCGGAAGAGAGCAGTGACGAGGAAGGGGACAAAAAGAAGTCCTCTTCGGCCAAGTCTGCTCCTGCCAAAGGGAAGCAACAAAATCAAAAGACAGCAAGCTGCGCACCTAAAAGTCCCATTGTGGCAAAAGCAACCGGCCTCAATGTCAAGATTGCCAAGCCAATAGAAACTAGTGGGAAAGGCAATTCACCACCTGGCACATCTTTGGCCCAAATCAAAGTACAAATGGGGGCTGATATCCAAGCCCTAGAGGCGGCCCGAGAAGAGGTGGAAAAGGAAGAGGCAGTGGCATCAAAAGCTGCCAGGGCCGATGAAGTGGAAGCCAATGCCACCAGTATCCAGGAAGGGGAAGCCTTTATTCGAAAACAACGGGCAGTCCTCAAGAGGGTCCTCAGAAACCAAAGTGAGAAGCGAGACATCAAGGAAATATGGGACACGAGAGAGGTGTTGCGAGAACAGTTGATGACTGTAGGCAATCAAATCCTATGGGACTGGCAGCCAACGGAGAATGACAAGATTCCAGCCCATCACCGAGATCGACAATCCGCACTGCTGGTGGCCCTCAAATACTTTCAAGAGGCCAAAGAAGTGACCGAGGAACAGGACAAGCTTAGGAGAACCCTTCGAGCTCAGGGCAAGTACACAACAGCCGAAGCTTGTTTCTTTTCACGAAATCTCTTGTTCCTGTTGGGAAACGCACATGCCAACATTGGAATCACGTGCATTGAACTTGCCAATGAGACAAAACGACACACCCAGTTCAAGACCGTGGAAGCAAAGCAGTACCTGCGAGATGCGGCCGAGAATCTAGGGACTGCTCAGGCATTTGCCGAGTCGCTGAGATCAAGAGCATCCACGGACCAGAAAAACTGGGGCTCCAATCTCCTAGAAACTGCCATGGACGCTGTGCGAGCCGATCAGCTGGAAACCTTGGCGATGCGGTGGTTGGGGACAGCTTTGTGGTACCAAGGAACTAAGAAGGAGGCATGGAAACAAATCAAAGCCGGGGCTGCCTTGTTTTCTGAGACGTCACGAAAACTTGAATCTGAGGCGGGCATCGACACGGGCATACACAGGGTTCTTTGCGAGCTTGGTAGCAAGTGCTATGATGTCTGCATTGCTATCGCTGATCTAGCATCCGCAGATATGGAACGTATGCCTCTAACATCAGGTTCGGTGCAAGATGGAGAAAAGCTGCTCTCCTACGTGAAGGGGAGCCTCATGAAAGCCTCGGAGGTGATCGATACAATCTACAACTTTTTCATTTTGATTCCAAGCGAAGAGTTGACATTTGATGAGTTTCTAACGGAGAATGAAATGATGGGAGAACAGGCAATCCAGTTGCACTTGAAGACGGTTGAAGAATGGTGGGAGCGCAGTAGGAAGATTGCGACCCGCCCCATTGCGGTCGACTCAATAGCGATGGAGAAGCGTCCTTTCCCTTTGCCTCGAAGCGAGGTGGAGCCAATGGGCCTGGAGAACATGCCAACGAGGCGATTCACGATGGACGAAGGAGCCAATCATCGGCGTCACAAGAAGAAGCGACGCGGTGCCAATCCGATGTATCACAAGCACAGTGGAGAGCTCCTCTCCGCGGTGTCGGACGGATTTGGTGCAGCTGATGACAAGCAACAAGAGCCCCCCAAACGATATCGTCCTTGGGGTGATGAGTTGCTGCCTCAGCTTGTGAATGAGGCCACTGGTCGATCCACACCAAAGATTGAATACCCCTCTGTTGCACCACCAATGCCAGCGCATATCTTGGCCATGCTTCAAGCGGCCTAAGTACGATGGCTGCCTATCGTTCAAGTGTTGGTGTAGCAAGTCTAGTATTCTTTATTATCTGCATAGAAAACAGTAGCGTGTGCCCTGTCTCTAGCTAACTTAGGCTTGGTGTTCCTTGCTTGCATCATAATCAAACAATGCATCGGCAAAGGCAATCTCAAAGTTCCCGAGGCTTGAAAGGCTATCGTGAAAGCTGTCTTCCACGCCAGTAAAATCTTGCTGGGAGTCCTCGGTATACAGTCTTCGTCGGCTGCACTGCTGCTCCTCTTTGCGTACAATTATTGAAGACTTGCTTGATCGACGAACTCTTCTTGTACTTGCATTCATCTCTTTGTGGTAGTGGTGGACCAGAAAAGATCTCCTTGGTTGTGCCAAAATGTGTGGTACTGTGGCAGGCTGCTGTGGGGCATCAGTGGTTGGCTTGCATCGTTGACTAATGGGTGGGCTGATTTCTTGTGGTTCGTTGTCGTGCATTGCATCGTCGTCCGAGGGCGGTTGTTTGAAGCCATCACAAGCAGGGACTTCATGGTAGACGAATGGAGTGAGAGTGGCAACTGTCATGTTGGTGGCTTTCAATAATTTATGAGTTTATTTGATGTTGTTGCTATTATTGTTGTTGTGGGAGATTGGAATTGTGCGCTTTGAAATGGTCCAAGAAGATGGCCATTTAGTTTTGCGAAGTCTTTCTAGGATGCATGATGTACCAGTACAAGCTAGTAGGCTGTTGTTGTTGCAATGACCTATCATAGAAGTTCACTAGACAACTAAATCCGGGGCCTACACCGTCCTTGACCAGTCTAGATAGGATCGTGTGCTCGTAATCTTGGGCACCCACCAAGCGGTGCGTTAGCAACCCAGCAAAAGCATGGTAATAAGAAGCAGTGAGCCAACTTTGAATTTGTGAGAAGAGATGGTTCGGTCATTCTGACGTGGTAAAAGGTTGATTGTGTGGCTTTGTGTTCCAAATGTTAAATCCTATTATGTCCTTAATTAATGTGCTCCCAACTCCCGACAGTCCCAGTCACATTTAAATTTCCAGAGTTTCCAGCCAAAGCACCAGCAAGAAGCGCGGGGAACCAAGAAACAAGAACAAGGACAGCGCGAAAGCGCGACAGCAAATCCAGAAACCAAAACACATCGTGCTTGTCATCCGACTCAATTCCATAGCATCCGACGATAACAGCCAATCCAAACACTGGCTTCCGACAGTCCCAGCATCTACTTTGTGTTGACTATGTCAGCAGCACACTAGCTAGCTATCAACACTAACTTACGGATGAACTCTGCGTCCTTGCCAGCGGGTTGGACCTCAGCCATTGATCCTTCCTCGGGAAGAGTCTACTACGCTAATTCGACCACTGGCGAGTCATCGTGGGAGCCTCCATCAATTCCACAGGGGCAAGATTTTCAGCAGCTTAATCGAAGGCGGCAAGACGAGCCTGACTATCATGGGCGCCAGCAGCAGGACTATCATGGTCAACGGCAGGAGTATGATCGTCCACAAAACCATCAACAACAGCGCCAGTATGAGTCACCAGCTCAACCAGCTCATCAGTATCAAGAGCAACACCATGGAAGAAATCCACTACTAGAAGCTCAACAACAACCACTAGAATCCAGCACCGAACATGGTAGTAGACCCGCTGCTCTGACCACCACCACCAAGACATCGACTGTATCTTCCGTGTCAGCCCTAGCATCCAGTGGTTTGCTAGTCCCAGCCGCTCGTGCTATTGTCGATAGTGACCAGGATGTCAACACGAGAAAAGATATCGAACTTTATGGCATTACTGCTGGGCAACTCGCTGATCTTTGTGCCATCCAAAAAGAAGAAATGTCGGAGAGACAAATTGAATTTAAACCTTACACCCCCATCACTCCCTACGCAATCAGCAACACTGCTAGACGACCTCCTATGGAACCAGGACGCTTGGAAATTCGTCTCCATTCACTCTACAATCAACTGAGAAAAATCCATGAGTGAACATACGTAGGATTGCAGAGCAAAACTCTCTATTTCTGTTTTTAGCGGAAGCATTAGATTGGCACTACTTCTCCACATGGCCGTCTCCAGTTGTTAGTTGAAGTGTCTCTATTTCTTTTATTGTTTTAGCGGGGCATTTCTTTTTATACAGGACAGACTTCAGTTCGGCCCATCATTGGGAATTGTATTGACAACTTGATCTGTGATGGTACTAGCACCCCGTTTAGCAATAGTCGACAATCCCCGTGCTGTCACCTTGGTCAATTCTTCAGCAGGATTGCGTCCGTTGCTGTCTTGTTCCAAGGAGGCGAGTGCCGCGTCGATGTTATCACTGGCTGTCTCTAGCAATGCTGAGGAGAATTTGGCTCCCAGCAATCCCACCAGAGGTAGATACCTGGGCGCACTTTCCCGTAGTTCCCTAGACAGAATTGCCAATTGTTCTGGTTCGACCTCATTGATCACAGTACTGAGTGCCGCGGGGGGTGACGAATCCATAGAATTTGAATCCTCACTGCTGCCACCGTTTCGAATTTTGTCCAGCTGTTGTTGTGACACGAGCGACAGTACCTTTTCTGCCAGTTGCTGGGCTCGGATTTCTTCCTCTGACTTTCCCACAAAGGGTGCTAGTTGTTCCTCGAAGGGGAGTGGAGGCAGAAACGAGCCAAACGGCACCGTGTCCCGAAATTTCTTTGGCCCATCAACGAGGAGATTCCGTAGCTCGTCTTTGATCTGGGCCGAAGTTGCCCGAACAGACTCTTCCAATAAGAGAGTCTGAACCAAACTGCCTTCTCTACTAAGAAGAATATCCGCCGAATTTTTGGCCAGCGTAACTGTAGCTTCTGTTTCTGCCAACCTGTTTTTGCGCTCAGATAGAGTCATGGGTCGTGCTGGTGATTCGTCACTTTGTCCGTCAAGCACCAACCCATTATCCAGCTGTGTTTCCTTTGTGGTTGTCGTGTAGGTCGAGAAACCATCTGCGAGGTCCACCAGTCGCTTCGAATCTATTTGATTCTCTGCTCCATACAGGAGTTCACGAAGAGCATCTTGCGCCCTGGGTGAATCGTCCACAAGAAGTCGTTTTGCAACGTATGGGAAGCATGACTTTATGATTGAAAAATCCTCATCTGCCTGCAAACTAACTCCTTCCAGAGTGAGAAAGGCCCTGGAGGTATACAAGAACCATTCTGGGATACGGAAAGAGTCTCTGTTTCGACGCTGCAAATCCTCTACCTCCACCGTGAGGCCCGTCACAGCACCTTCGCGCTCTGCCATGTCTTGTACCCTGGCCTATTACGGTAGCAAGAAAGAATCACAAGTGTGTTGGCCCCTCCCTCGTATTGTCACAATTGCCCGTCCACCGGTCAAACGAGGATTGTCCCAACTTACCTTCATCTCTGACCTCATTTCAACTCGAAGTTCATCGTCACTGAGGCCAGGAAACTTCTCACGATATTCCGCAAAGATGCGATTTCTCACTTTTTTGGCTCCTCCGCCTTCTCCCGCCTGTCTCAGGAAGTACTTGAGTGGTTCTAGTACGCCACTGCGCCTCACAAAATCAAGCTTTTCTTCCTTCAAGAAACCAAGGGCCACCAAGTCCTCGGGAAGTTTATCATAGTCGTTGCTGGTCAAGTGTGCCACATACTCGAGCAAAGAGTATTGCAAGCTCGGATCAATGTCCAAAGTCATACCTGAGGGAACACAAGTTAGTCCGTACCTTGGTGTGAATCCGTTAGTATACCATTTCCGGTGATGAACTTCAGGCAACGTACCAAAGTCCAAAATGATCAGGGTTCCGTCTTTGGTCCGCAAAAGATTACCTGAATGCGCACAAGACATGTTTTTCAGCTGATTGAGTGGGTTTTGTGCTCACTTATGTATGTCTGGATGTAATCACAGATTGAGACGTACCGGGATGAGGGTCACAGTGCAGACTTTGCAGCTCGAGCAACATGACCAGATACGCATTCAAGGCCACAGCACACAATCGAGGCACATCATCCGCGTCACTCTTGTCAATGCGTACCCCGTCAATCCATTCTGTGACCAGAATCTGTTCGGTGCTGTAGTCTGTAATCACGGTTGGGGCACTGACGGCATTGAGATTTCTCTTTTGCATTTCTTCCGTGAATCGAATGGTACTGGCAGCCTCTCTGCGATAGTCCAACTCGGCAATAAAGCCTCTAAGCGGGTATGCAGGAATGATTGATTAGATCCAATCCAATCCAATCAATTTATTGTCGGGTGAGTTCTCTCTTGTCATTGACTATGAAACTTCATTAGTCTATAATAACTCTCTGCACGTACCTTCCCCACTCGTCGGTTAATCCCTGAATAGGTGACATGTGCATGATGAGCGACATGAAGATGGAACATCGACGATACGCCACGCAATATATTTCTTCCTCCACTCACTTACCTGCAGGTCACTGGCTGTTCGTGTCAGTTTCTTGTAGAGTGGAGCAAATTCGCGCACCAGATGCAGATCCAATGCAATTTCCGCCAGGACATTTGGACGCTGAACCTTCACTGCCACCTCCTGGGAGTCAATGAATCCTCGGTAGACTGATGAAATGGCGAGCATAGACTAGAGTCAGGAATTTCATTTATTTTGCGGGGGCCCTTTGTCTGCTGTTTATTGTTACAGTACGCACCTTGCCCAATGGATGCCGACGCCACGGGGCCACTCCCTCTGCTCATGAATGGGAAATCTTTCAAGTGAGAGTACTTTTCCGGTCCCAACTCGAGTCTCAAAATGTCCTTGGCGGCTTGTCCGTCAAATGGCGGAACTTGATCCTGCAAGCTGGACAATGCCTTGGCGTATTCTGCTGGTATCAAGTCGGGGCGCACACTGAGCGCTTGTCCAATCTTGATGGCTGTGGGTCCCAATTTGGTGACCAATGCGAGGAGTTCCTCGGCCCGCTGTACTCGATTGGTTTCTTCGTCTCGCAGAATGTACTTGTCAAAGAGTAGATTGTAGAGGAAACCGTTGGATAGTCGAAAGACTTGTGATGCTCGTTGCAATACCAACAGCTGGTGTCGAGAGTAATACGCCTTGGCTTGAATGGGGTCATACATGCCCCTGGCATAGGGTTCCATGCCCTGGCGAAAATCATCGGGTGCCGCGAGTGCCATGTTGTAGAGTACCGTAAACAAGACCGCAGCGAGCGGCAGTAGAGCAAGACCAACTTTGGCTACCAATGGCAGAGCCAGGATCAATGCTGACGTTTCTGCCATGGTGGATTCTAAACTCGACAATGCCGGCTTGATGAGTGAAGAAACAAAGTCATCTGTATCGAAAAACAAGCCCAAAGATGGTTGTGGCGAAGCAACATTGTCATTTGGAACAGTGGGAATTGTTGTCGTGACCTTGGCTGTCGCTCCCGCTAGTCGACTGGTGAGATCGGCCCAGTCATCATTGAGAGAGAGACCCAAGCTGTCTTTTCTTGGTTCTGGCACTGACGAAATTCTTGTCACAGGCGGCCGCACAAAAGCTGTGGTTGGTCGCACCGTTAGAAGGCCAACCACTCCCAACACTGCCAGCAAGCTTGGTGGTCCTGGTATTCTCTGCATATCGCAGCTCCTCACAGGGCGTGCCTTCATGGTGGTCCTTGCCTCTAATTCTAATTCTGGGAGCTTGCGGCTGTGTTGCTGTTGTCATTGCAAGGGAAAAAGCAAGTGGATGGACTTTGGAACTTCAGGACCTTTGGAAGCACTGCGCGACCTTTCACAGCCTGACGTCAGTCATTTTTTCAAAAGACACAATCCAAAATCCAAATCCTTTGTCTTCCTCTGAGTTGGAAAGATTGATTGTCATCAAAGAGATGGTCCTGCTGTTGATGAATGATTCAATCGGCTGACACAGTAGTGGCCCAGCTCATTATAGTAAGATCGAAAAGAGACATCAAATCTCTGACTCGATCAGCCAGCATCAGTGCGGTCAATTCCTTTGGTACCGATATCCTTATCCGGCACTGTCAACTCCAACTCCATCCAGAGAAAATAGCTAGCTAGCAAAGACTTCATCACAATTTCGAAGAAGTGAATTAATTGGGAGTTTTGCAGATCATGATGATTGAAACGAGAGCGTTGCCACTGGCATTGGCCTTGATGGCATCCACGGTGGGTGCCTTTCAAAGCGTAGATATCACTCCAACAACAACAAGAATGAGTACTACCGGCACAGCCCTTGCCATGGACCGAAGGAACTTTGGAGCAGCTGTCATTGGAGGCATTGTGGCGGGGAATGTTTGGAACCCAACAAAACCTGCCATGGCAGAGGTATTCTTGGATCCGGCCATGTACGGTGATCAAGAGTTGAGAGTCAGTGCCGTCGATTCCATCAAGGAAAAAGTACGAAGAGCCATTCTACAAAAGCCGGTTCTGGCACCATCATTTTATCAACTGAGCTTGCTCGACGGATTGAGCTACAACGAACGCACCAAAAAGTACGGACCCGATGGCAGTGTTGTGGCCAATGTGCTTTCTTCCAAGAGCACGGACACTTACACCCAAAATTTGCAAGAAGCATGCAATGTGCTTATTGAAGGCGCCAAGGCACTCAAGAGGAAGACTGCCATTACAGTCTCGGATGCCGTTGCTATTGGCGGTGCCGAAGCCATTGAATCGGTGGGGGGGCCTGTCCTGGCTGTACAGTTGGGACGCATGGAGCCGGCAAAAGGTGCCCCTCTGCCTCCTCTCCCCGTTGATCTATTTTCTGGAACTCGGTCTGCTTCCGAGGTCTCAGATGCCTTTCGTTCTGCCGGCTTGACGGAACGAGAGATGACAGCCTTGCTGTCTGGGCTCATGACTTTGGAATTGGTGGAGAAATCCAGGTCTGCCGAAGATTGGAAAGAATCTGCTAAACCCAAGTTTCGTGAACGAGGAAAGATGGGTAGAATGTCCGAGTTCAAGCAACTCACAGATGAAGATATCGCAAATGCAGAAGCAGCAGAGTTTGACGATGACGACGACGGCGAGGACCCATTGTTTGATGATGGCAGAACCTATATTGCAGATAGTTTCGGAACCAGGGACGAACGCTTTGGAAAGCGCATTGGAGCAGAGCAAATCGACGAAAAGACTTTCAATAAGTATTTGAAGGAGCTCGACGAGGCGTCGTCGAAGAAGAAAGGAGGCAATGTGAGCGACTACGGGTGGATCGGAGTGCTTCTTGCGGATGGAGACGTTACCCAGACATGGCTCAAAAAGTATGCTGGATCCAACCTCAACTATCTCAAGGACCTCAAAGTCTCGTTCAATGCTGTTACCCAGCTCGGAGCCGTGTACACTGGTGGTAAGCTGCTTTTAGGTTGGTTTCGTTTCAGGATGCAAACAGTTTCGTGTGACTCACCCTTCCCTCCTTGTTGCCGCAACCCGTGACAAATCTCGTTTGTTTCCAGGAAAATACGAGAGTCTGCTCAAGAACAAGGGACGAAAAACACTCAACGACGATCAGCTGAATCTATTCTAATAAAGGAACACGCTAGCTAACTAGTAGAAAAAGATTCCATGTTGTAGGCGCTATGGTATCTAATTTTATTGCTGCCTTGTATGTATCCGCGCCGATTTGTCTGTACCGGTACTAGCACTGGTATGGTGGTGGCCCCTTCGAGTTTCAATCGTCTTGTTGCGTGAGGTTCTTAGAACATGCGAATGTTGTTTGCTGAGTTGGCCTGTGTTTGCCCAAAAACAGGAGCGTACTTGTCACTATCCGCATTGCCATCGGCGGGAAACAGCTGCTTGGCTGTGCCAAAACTGAACATCCCATTTTCTTGAGAAGGAGCGACGTTCTCGTCTTCTTCGTCATCTCCACCATAATATTTTTCAATGAGCTCCACAGCTTTTTCGTACACCTCCTCGCTGCTGTGACTTTGAAGCTCTTCTAGTGCGTCGATGCCGCCCCACTCATCGAACTCCCTCGTGAAATTCAAGTCACGCCGAGCAGAGACTTCAAAGACCTTGTCGAGGGCCTCCATGACAACGATTAGACTCTTGCTGTCTTTCATGCTGCTAAGAGCATCCGCGAGGGCCTTGAGCCCTTCGTGATTCGCGACATGGCGCAATTGTTCTTCTGTTCCTGTGGTGAAAACATTTGCGATCACCCACAGAGCCTCTTTTCTCACTTCGTGCCTGTCAACGAGAGAAAGAGGAAGAAGTGAGTGTGAGCAACATTACATTACTCCTTAAAACAAGAATTGGTGGTGACGTTACGTGCCTGTCATTTTGAGCAATGTGAGCCATGGTCTCAAAGATGCGGTCAACCTCAACGAGCATGTCGATTTGATCCTCCGTGCCAGCTGCAATGTTCGACAGCAGCCAGCAGCACTCCTTCCGAATGCCCTTCTGTCAAACGAAGAGAATCGAATCGGCATTGTTAGCACCATACATGATCAAGCAACAAACCGGCCCCTTGCATTGATTGTTGTTGTTCACTCACGCTTGGGTGGTTGAGGAGTCCGACGATTGGTTCGATCACTCCAGCCTCAACAACCGTCTGGGTCTGGAGGTCGTCTCCAGTGACAAAGTTACCCAGTGTTCTGACCACAGGAGTAGTCAGAGCCAAATGGTTCTTTTCCAACAATTGGACAAGAACTTCAGTGACTCCGGTCTCCATGACCATATCAATTCTGTCATTGTCCCCGTCGGCGAGGTAAGACAATGCCCAAGCAGCGTCAACCATCACTTCAGGGCCCACCGTGCGGCCGAGCAACTCTGCAAGGGGGCCGACAGCTGGCTGAATTAGATGTTTTTGCGGGCTTGGCTTGCCCCGACAAAGATTTGACACCGCCCAAGTCACATTGCCGAGCAAAGAGGCTGTGGCGGGGTCCTTGAGATTGAGAATCCTGTTGGACAGAATGAGAGCGAATGTGTGAGAGTGTGACCGTCCAGTAACAGAATAATAAGTACAAACTCTGCCTTGTACTTACAATCCAACGAGAGCGCCGCTCCCAAGAACCAGATCTCTTAGTTCCTGAGAGTCACCAGCGATATTGCCGATACACCACGCCGCCTGTTCGCGAACATCAGCGACCGGATGGTGCAAATGCTGGATCAGCATGGGAAGAGCCCCACCGTCAACGACTGCTTGCGTCTTGTCGGTTGACGCAATGTTTGTGAGCGCCCAGGTGGCTTCAAAAACAAGGGTGTGGACGTTACTGGGGTCCAGGAGGCCCACAAAGAAACGTAACGCCCCTGCTTCAAGGACCTCGTCTACGGGAGGGCTGTCCTCCACTGAGAGCATGCGCCGAAAGCCTTGAACCGCAGAAAAGACCTTGGGGTCGTTCATGTTGCTCCCGGCACTAATAAAATCATTCATCAAACTGGGAATGTCAGCCTTGGTGAAGACACGCTTATCGTCCTCCGTGGCGTTCAAAGCATGCGGCTGCGCTGCCTGTCGCCTTTTCATTAACTGTTCTTCCTTCTTGGCCTTTCGCAGTTGCGTTGTTGTTTCCTCTCGTCGACGGCGTCCATGCTCCAAATCATTCTGTTTCTTGAACAGTTGTTTGCGATCTGGAAGAAACAAAAAGTCAAGAGATGGTGAGTGAGAGACGAGCAAACAACTCCGACATGGACGTTTGAGAGAAAAGAGTATCGTACCATTGGCTCTGGCAGCTAACATGTTTCTAGCGTTTGTTTTTATTCAAGTAGGTAAGAGAAGAGAAGAGAGATTGACAACACTGATGTGCTTTCTTTCGAGATGAAATAATGAAGCTTTCTTTAGACGAAAAAATGAAGCCTGTTTGCTTCGGCGATGCTTGGACGTTCAAATGGATTTATGTGGGAACACTCGTTTTCAACGAAAAAATGAGATGGACTGTTCACCGAAAAGAGCCGTTGAAAGAGCGGTTGTTATTGACGTCACGACACACGCAGTCTCGATTCTAAGCCAGCAAGCTACTAAAAGCATTGGTCAAGCGCACCGGGGAACAGATTTACATCATGTCTGTCGCATCCCGCTGTACCGGTGTCCGGTTACCGGTACAACTTTAAACTGGCTACCGTACCTACACGTTTTACACCTTTTAACAGCTTTGCGGTTTTGCTAAGTAATGTTAAAGATCTTTAACAGCATCTTTTGGTCTGACGCAACATCAACAGCCACAGCAGCCACACACAGAGCGGCCACAGGAGCGGCCACAGGAGCAGCACAGCCACAGGAGCAGCCACAGAAGAAGCTGACGCAGCCACAGAAGCAACCACAGAAGCAGACAGCTGCCCAGCAGCCGTCGGCCGATGCTAAAGTGGTGCGTCAACAGCCATGGTCGACGTCCACACCAGGCAACAAGAAGAAGACCTTGAGCTCCCACAACGTCTCGACCATGGGGAGGCAAGAGCTAATACGATGGGATTGGAGGCATGGGCAAATCCAACGGTTCTAGGCATTAATATCCGATTACTTGATTAGCTGTAAAAGCCATTGATGATGATGATAATGATACTACCAACAGCAAGTGACGAAGAAACCTCAAGAATCGAAACATCAAGAAGGGTCTGTGACTTTTGCTAGCCGCTGGATCGGATGTAGGCTCGCATGGGAGGGGAATAGAATGTCCTCGAGAAAAATAATGAAGAGCAACAGCCAACAGAAATACAGATGGCAACACAGATGATCTTTAAGAAATGTGCAGCTGGCTGAGGCCAGGGAATTCTTCTCCAGCAGAGGAAGATGAATCAGAGTCCGCATCACGGTGGTTGATGCCATGGCGGTTGTGGCGGTTGTAGCGGTTGTGGCGGTTGTTGTTGTTGTTGTTGTTGCTGTTGCGAGGAATGGATGCAACCGAATCATCCTCTTCTCCCGTCGATTCCTCCTCGACAGCATGGGTGATGCGAAAAGGGCTGGATCCACCAACGAACTGCACCATAACAATGCGCCCTCCTTGATCCGTGCGAAGAATAAGATGATTCGAGTCAGAGCGGATAATAGAACCCTCCATACTCTCCAAGAGAAGCAGATTGCTAGTTGGGATGTACATCTGAGGATGGATAAACACAGCCATCGACACGTCCTTGCCAACATTGACAGCTTCTGCCACTTTTCCCTTGATTTTCACAGCGAGAACACGAAGATCTTCATCACTCAAGGGCTGCATTTCTGCTCCAGCAACAATGGAGAAAGAGGCAATTTTGAGCTTGTCAGTCATGGCTTGTTTGGTTTATATTTTGGTTGAATAATGAGCTCTCCGAAGTCGACAATCAATCAAGCTGATTGGCGAGCATTCAGCATCCTCCGTTGGTGCTTACTTTGGCAGCTCCGGCATCTCCAGCCAGAAGGCGCTGTCGGATCTTCTGCGACAAAATTTCCTCTTACAGTTGAAGCATGCCGCCCTTAAGATCATTCTTGATGCTGGCAGATCTCTTATCTATTGGAGGCTTCCGAGTTGGAATTTTCCAACAAGCCACCGAATAGCCAGTGGCCTCTTTGTAGTGCTCATTATTGCACAACAACGAAAAGAAGCGACAATGGCAACAAACCTTTTTGGCCTTGCTGCTCCTGGTGCTACGTGGCAGACGTATTCTGCTATTCACCCGGTTGCAAACCTAGACCAAATGGGCAGCCCCGACAAATTTCCTGTTGTGCTTTGGCGAACATCATCAGAAGGCGAGTGGGAGATGAAAGCGACTGAAGTGTTATTCCAGCGACTGGATGGTACATCCAAGTTTCGGTTCATGGTGAAAGGATACCGTCGTGAGGGAGATTCCATGAATAGGTTTGAAGAACACATTCCAGTTTCATTGACCAAGCGTGTCCGATGGAACGATCCCAAGATCACCACTCTCCGCGGAAGGACCTCCAAGAGCCGTCTTGTTGAAGTTGATTTCCACTACGATATTGAGGACCGTCAACCCAATGATATTATTCGAGTGGAAGTCATTATCCCCAAGACAGCTGACAGTGATAATGGCAAGGTCTTGTATAAGGCTTTGAATTGGGCTCGCTCAGTGGTGGCAGCTCAGCTTGATTTCGAGGAATACATGGCAGTAGTGTAGATATTTATGATGGAAGATATTTCACACACAAATAAGACAACTATAGAATGATATTTATTGTGTCTACTCAATAGATGCTGCAATAATCTCGTTGGCCTCTTCTTCCTCGACACGTTGCAGTACTTGCCCAACAATACTGTTTCGACGCTTTCGATCAATAGATAGCAGCCGTGTGATAAGATAGTCATCTTCAGTCTCTATGCAACGATCGATGCCAACATCTTTTGAAAAGCAAGTGATTTCGCCGGATCCAAGGCGTTCAAGCTCTGCCTCATCGTCTTCCGTCCATACACCACCAGCAGGAGCTTCCAGCCCAGCATACTTCTCCTGCCAAAGCTGTAACAAGTCAGCCTTCTTCTGCTTTACTTTGTCATTGTATGGAGCCAATGGGTGCGGACCTTGCTTCCATTGGATCATGGTTTGTAGCTCAGGTTTGAGCCAATCCGTGCAATCTTTGCCCTTGGCAAGGATTGTAGCCGCTTCATCGGCAACACCGTCTCCTGTTGAGCACTCTCTTTTCTTCTTTTCAAGCTCCTCTACCTCTTTCTCCATATCTTTCCGAGCAAAAGCAATCAAGGCATCATCACACGTCATTGGACCACCACCACCAGTTACTTGAAACCAACCACCAGCTGTTGATACTTTCATGATGGCATCTTGTCTCTCTCGTGAATTGGGAACGGTGATTGTTGAATTGCGTCCTCTTGTTTGAGCTGCGGTCACTCGGTTGACACTTCGGTGCAGGTTCTTTGCAAGATTGTACCCATTCTCTTCTAGCAAGTTGATTGCCATGAGATTTTGATCTTCTAATTCCTCCAGGAGCGTCCCATAAGGATCTGCTGCATGATCAACATCCCCATCTTCTCCTTCTATAATTTCGTGACGGATTTGTGTTGCTTTGAGAGCTTGCCGGGTGCTTGGGCAGTACCCACACTTGTCCATAGCCTCGTGAATGTGGTTCTTATCCAGAGCAGTTTCAAAAGCATTCACCAAATTGATAGATGAGCCATCAATCATTGTCACCCGCCCACCAAAAAGCAACGAGGCAACATCCGCCATTGAGAGGGAAGCCGATTCACCTTCTAAGCGAAACCGAGCTTTCCACAGCATCTCTCTGTTCTGATACACAAGCTTTTTCAAATAAGAGAAGATCTGATCACATTCTTGTCCAACCTCAGTGCCATTCGGTAAGCCTGGGTACAAATGGACGCCACGTGATCTCAATGATCGAAGCATTGGAGGGTTCAATCGACCAGGTCCTGAGTCAATCTTAATCAGCAATGATGACTCTGTATTGTCAGCCGAATCAGGATAAAGGCGAAGCACAACACGCTCAAAGAAATTATGCAACATCTCCTTCGTCATACTTCCTTTTGGATTCATCGCGAAGGGGATATTGTGGGTTCGAGACTGACTAAATCCAAATGTTGCTTGTAGCTGTGGCAATGCTCTTGCGAAGTCCACTTTGAGTTTGTAGTTGTCAGAATTCTTGGCTTGAGTGGGAAAGATCAGTAGTGGTGGCAAAGCTTCACCAGCAAAGTTGATTCCGAACATGACTGTCATCTTTGCCCCTGACTTCTCGGTAGCAGTGCCGGAATCAGCAATACCAAGGCTATTTGCTGTTGGTACACGAGACTCTCTCCCACCAATGGAACCATCAGTTCCGTCAAGTGCAATATTCATTTCGTCAAACTGCAGCACGTGTGAGAGTCTATGTTTCTTCCACACAACAAAGCCAACTTCTTCCTCACTTTCATTTGGTTCCAAAGGCCTAGCAAAGCCAAGACGAACTGCTTCTTCCTCCCATTTCTTGTAGTGTAACAGCTGTGACTGGTATGTAAGCCAAAGAACACGAAGCGACTCCCTAGAATCAGCTTTATTCAAATCCTGGAGATGGCAGATTGCTCCTTCAATTCTGGCATAGAACTTTGATTCATTCATATCCACCAGTCCATCAGCAGCTCGTTTAGCATTTAGTATCTCACCAACAACACTCTTGAGCTTCTCTCTTGTGAGTCGTTCCTTGCAGTTGGCTTGCTCAATTGCACAAGCCGTGAAAACAAGATCACAGAACGCTTTAAAAATATCTTCCGGTATCTCACCCTTTCTGCCAAGACGTGGAGGAGATTTGCCAATATTTCCATCCCGAATGGCTGCAGCTATTTCTCTTCCAGAAATGCAGTCAATACCAGCAATATCATTCAAAGCTTTGGCCACATTATCGGCCGTTTTGAAGACTGAAAGTGTGTTTTCATGCATGCGAACCGAATGGTAGAGTACTGTTGCTGTTTTGTATAGAGATTTCCGGACGTTGTCTAGCTCCCGTTGTGTTTGTCTTTCAACCTGTGCTGCTTGACTAGTTCGACGTGGATCCTTTGTGGTCGTCAAGTGGGAGATATCACTCTTAATGTTTGCCTGCCTTCTCTTTCGAGCATCTTTCAGAGAGATATTCTTGGTGGTGGACGTCGAAGAATTGGACACAGTGGCATTCTCATCCCCAAACAAATATATTTCTGGACTACCAAAGAAGGGAGGAGTATTGTAAATCTCAAATTCTTCATTATTGATTGTAACAACCGCAACATTGCCATTGTCAACATCATTAACAGAGATTCCAGCTGCCGATAAAGGGAAAATTAATTCCACCCCTGATCCTCTGGATGTATGGATATCAACTGGTACAGGACGTGGACGTTGATTGTTTGTGATTGGAAGACGTGATGAATTGTTAAAAGGCTGTAGTGGTGGAAGATCCGGTGTTACAAGAGGTGGTGCTTGTTTCAACCCCCGTGAGACTCGCATGTAAGCCTTTCCGGGGCCTGCTTCAGTTTTTGAAAACCCCGCCAACGTCATCACAAAAGCAAGGGTTGATGGCTTTCCACTGTCTGGGTTGATCTTGACTCTTTGCGCAAGGTAAATTGCTCTCCTAACGTTTTCCTCGTAAGAGTCAATATGGTGAAGACGCCCATATCTTTGGCTTGCTCCAGCTAACAAACCATTGAATCGGTTCTTCACTTCGTGGGATGAAAATAAATCTTCTCGCATTCCAACCGACTTCAAAGCATCCTCAGCACCATTAAAAAAAATGGAGCTCCATTCTGGGATGGTGCGATACACTTCTAGAGCGCGCTGTAGGAGAATATTCGTCTCCATGGTCAATATTTGATGGTAGCTTGCCTTGAACTAAATGCATTGCCAATGGTGGCTGTAGCATTTCCACAGAGCAAAAACCCTTGGATTGGAGACCACATGAAGCTAAATTTTACCGTGGTCTTCATCAGGAATACTGCATTATCCTGGCACATGGCTGTAGTTATGTATGCTTCACTTGAAAGCAGCACAAGAGCCAACACTCTTGTCATTGTGGACGGTTGAGTCAACTTTGTGGATTTGAACCTTTTGAAAAATTGCATGGGGCTGGCTGTTAAACCCTTTAGTATTCACTGTTAAATGCAAAAAGCATTTTCTGTTAAAAGTCAAAGTGTAGAAACCGGCTTTAACATAAAGTGTTGGCGAGGAGCTGTTAAACCTGAAACAATAAGTGTTAAATCACAGCTAATTTGCCATGTTAAAAGAGTTCATAAAAAGGTGTTTTAACATGCAAGCATTTAAGGGTGAACGTCACATGTTAAAGAAACCAAATGTTGGTGTTAAGGATCCCTTAACTTTGCGTTAAAAGTTAATAGGTGTAAAACGTGTAGCTATTAATAACTCTGAAGAATTCTCAATTTTTATTAATATTACTACGGATTCGAGAATAATTGTCCCTGTGTCACAGAAATTGCACCGCCATAGCACAGAAATTGGTGTCATGTAGACCTCAGTAGAAAGACTATTGCGGAAAAATCAATTTCTGTGACATGAAAATGGTGAGCTCGTGATTCAATTGAATCCTGCACAATTCCTTGTTCCTTCGTGCCTTTTCTCTAGTTTACTTAGAGGTCCTGCCCCCATTTTTGTGTCATGAAAATGTTTGCCCATAAGCACAAAACCGGTGTTCTCATCCTGGAGTCAATTCTTTTCGAATCCGTAGTATTGTCATGCCGGTTACAGGTTCGTCCGTACTACAGTACCTGGTACCGGTACCGGCACTACCCTGGACCCGATTGAATAATCGATAAGAATCGATTCTTCGTTTTAATTAACATAATTATTCATATTTGACGGATTTGATTGAATCGAATGAATCGAATACTTGATTCTCATTCGAAATGAGTTGAAAACTTTAACACGTTTTTCAACAACAATGTGTGAAAACGTTTAATTCATTTCCAAGGATTTGGTAAAAACGCACCACACCACCTTCGGCAAGGCCTCATAATTGTTGAAGTGTTCGCCTTCTCACGCAAGCAACAAGCAAACTTTGCTTGCGTCGACCTTGCAAAGAGACCTACCGGTACCATTACACCTTGAAGAAAAAACGCTACGTACTAGCTATAGAATACTGCAGCAGGAAGTTTTTTTGTTGCTGGATGCAACCATGAGTAATAGTGAAGAGGCCAAGATTTTGCAGCACGTTCTTGTGACTAGATGCGCGCAGCTGCCTCATTGCGATCCCCAAGAGGTTCTGGTACCTGCAGCATCTGATACCACCACCTGTAACACCAGTAGTAGTGGGCAAAAATGCGGCACAAAAACTGCTTCCTGCAAATTCACTTCCAATCCTGACATTTCCAATCCTGCCGCCAGCAAGCTGGAAACACTCCCAAAGAGAGTTACGCCTCAATTACATTCTGGGCCGTCAAATGATTCTCCTCCTCCTACGAGCCTAACTCGATCCGGTCCAATTCATCATGGAACGGATACCAATGCGGATAGCACTCCTGGAGCTATCCATATATCCGGAGTTTTCGGAGAATTGGAAGAGAGGCAATCGGTGCGCAGCTCCACGTCAGAATCTGAAGCTGAGGACGAAGATGTATCCATGAGTTCCAATGGATGTTTCCATGAAGCAGTGATTACTACTGCAGTGCCTGTCGTGGATCCAGAAGTTACCCGTGCGGAAATGGAAGCGCAACTTCGACATTCCATGGAAACCGAAATTCGACAGACTATAATGGAAGAAGCAGTCCGAGCGGATGCTGTTGCAATTTGCTCGGGAGATGAAGACGGCTTCTTCAGTAGGAAGATAAAAGGATATTGGAAGATCGGCTTGCTGGTGCTAATCCTGATTGGAATTGTGGTGGGATTGTGTTTGGGCTTCATGTTGATCAGGCGTAGTCAACTCTCCATCAAGGCAAATTCAGATCAAACCACTGCCATTGCCATCTCAAGACCTACGCTAGAGCTTGTGAGAGAACGAGGATACATTCGATGCATGGTCAATCCCGCCTTTTTGGGCTTCACCGAAAGAGGTCCAACCGGATTGTTGCAGGGATTGAATGTAGACCATTGCAGGGCTTTGTCGGTTGCAGTATTTGGCAATCCGGACCAATATGAACTAGTGGAAACGGAAAATCGTGATTACCTCGAGAAGTTGCAAGATGGCTCTGTGGATGTTGTTGCACAGCAACTTGTCATGCGAATGGGGACGGATGTGTATGATCCTACTGTTGGGACCGGGTTTACTTACTCCATCCCATACTTCTTTACTGGGTTTGCATTTGTCGGAAGGAGTGCCATGGTGAAATGTGCAGATCGGCTGGACTCCTATTCCAGGGAGTGCAGGGCACTTCGAATCTGTGTCGTTTCTAACACAGCAAATGAGAACACACTTCAAAACTTGCTACCTGGTGGCATGATTGTGCCATGTAGCAGTGGGAAAGAATTGACTCAAAAGTTTGTTGCTGGAGAATGCAATGTCATTGGAGCACAAGCATCTGCGGCAACCGAGGAACGTTTTCGAAAGGCTGGCTATGAGGGGGATTTTGAGGTTGGAAAACACCTTTTCTCCTTTGATGCTGTTGCTTTAATTTCACGCAATAATGATGTTGATTGGGCAAATACAATCGATTTGGTGCTACACACCTTTTTCGTAGCAGAAGCACACAACATCACCCAAGCCAATGCTGCAGATATGAGAACCCTGTTCCGAGGCAATCACCACAACAACACAACTGCAGATGTCATGGTTGACGTTGTGTCGCAATTTGGCAACTATGGGGACCTCTACATGAAGCATCTGGAGTCCGTGGTCCCAAGGAGAGGCCTCAATCTAGTGTACACAAAGTATGATACATCTGGGCTTCTCTATTCATTGGACTTCCACGACTTCGATCATATAGGACCAGGTCCCATTCCATTGGGGACAATTGATTCTATTCTAACTCGAGGCCATCTAATCTGTGGAATATACCCTCGTCCAGGGTTTGCAGAGGCTTCACCGACTCAAACGAACTCATGGTCTGGATTGGATGTGGAATTGTGCAGTGCTTTGGCTGCTGCCATGTTTGCTGGGAATGCCTCAGCAGTAGTGTTTGTGGATTTGGTGGCAACGAATGCAGATGGCATCGCTGTCCAGGACGAAAATGTGATCCTTCGGACAGGAACAGTGGATGTTGTTGCAGGTAGCCGGGTTTCCCTGAAGGGGATAGTTGGCGATGGATCCCCTGGATTTGTCTTTGGCCCCCCATATTTTGTTGACACTGAGAGCATGAGTCAGTACGCATTCATGACCCGAGCAGATGATTGTCAATGGACTTCCTTTGTCTATTGGGTAACCACTGCAATCATCCACGCAGAGAAGAGTAGCATCACTCAGGTGGAATTCCATCGAATGCCCATCACTTTGCTGTTTGGTGAGATACTTAAACTGTGCTTCCAAGATGCCATATCGGCAGTGGGTAATTATGGAGAGATCTACAATCGCACATTGGAGGCTACCTCGCCACGATCGGGGGGAAACTTGTTGAACCAACAAGAAGGGTCTTCCTATGGACCTCAGCATTTTGCCATCCCAATCTATTGAATAGCGACTGCAAGATCACCATGCACTCCTCCCTCCCTATTAGCTACTTGTAGCACTCCCGCTGCACATGATGGCGGCCTGCGATGACAGTCTAGCTAGCTAGTAGATAAGATGTGCAATTTTTTAGTTTTAAAAGATACAATCCCCAACACGAGCGTGCCTCAAAATTGAAAGATATACATGTAATTAGACGCCAGGACGTTCGCAGCCACGTCTGAAGTAGTAGTAGTAGTTGATGCATCCACACACGAAGTAGAATGCAGCCAGTCCATATAGAACCGTTTCAGCTGCCTCGTACTTCATGGCGACTTGGAACATCGAGGGAATGAAAAAAGCACCAAAAGATGCAATAGCACTGGACCATCCCAGCACCGTTCCTGCCAGATCCTTTTCGAACATGACTCCGATAGTTCCAAAAGTTGTGCCGTTCATAGCGCCCACCGTAAAGAATAGATTGATAAACATGAAGACAAACCAACCAAATAGAGGCTCGGGAGTAGGATCTGCGTAGATTTTCTGAACGAGGATGGCAGTGCAAATAGTTGCAATCACACACCAAATGATCAGCAACATGGTAACATTGGCCCCTCCATATCGATCGGCCAAGATACCTCCAAAGGGACGAATCAGAGAGCCGAAGCAAGCACCAAGCCAGGAGTATCGAAACACGTCGGGAGCGTTTGGATTGATTAATTCCCGAGTCTCCCAAATTCCACCTGAAGCAACGCAGTGCTGGGGTGTTCCGTGTTCATGAAAGACATCATCGATGACACAACCATCTACTTTGATGTATCCAAATAGATCTTGAATCAGCTTAGGGAATGCCCCAGAGAATCCAATAAAGCTTCCAAAGGACATTATGTACAAGATGGTCATAAGGTACGTGTGCTTGTCTTTGAAGATTCGCGCTTGATCTCGGATATTTCTTTTGCAAGGAAGGGGGCTTCCAAAGTAACAGATCAAGTGCTCCACGACAATGGCGAACACAACAAGGAGGAATCGTAGCATTACTTCTCCTCCTGCAGTTGTGAAGAAGTGAATCTCTCGTGATCCGATGAGCAGGCTAGTGGTCAAGAGTGCTGCAAACAATCCCGTAAATGTGGTCCAGTAAAAGTAGATGTGGCTCCAGAAGGTATCAGAAGAGCAGAAAAGCTTGTTGGCGGAAGAATAGTATGAATGATTTCCATGATTTGGGTTGTTGGACATCCACATAAAGCTGCAAATGGCGGACACAAGACAGATGGGCCACCAGAACCATCCAGCGTGTTCGGGCCATCCATCTGTAAGGTTTGACAAGGGTGCCTTGCCAGCTGACCAAGCCATGGTCTGCGGCAACAAGAGCTGCGACATGCTCACTCCCAGATTTCCCAGTCCTCCATTGAATCCCAAGGAGTATCCTTGCTGTGTTTTGGGGTACAAGAAGGACATGTTACTCATGGACGAAGCAAAGCCTCCACCGCCAATTCCACTGAAGATGGCCATGGCAAGCACGTAGGAGTAGGGCACATTGGGATCTCCCAACCCAGCAGCTGCCATGATCATGGGTACCATGAGCAAGACCGAGTTGGAGTAGACAACGTTTCGTCCTCCGCTAATGTGCGTGAGAAAGGCGTTGCAAATTCGCATGATCCCTCCAGAGATTCCGGCCACCGTGGGAATCGCAGAAAGCAGGAACTTGTGGTACTCTTCATCGGGATTGCCCCAGTCTGGGAAGGAATACACATTGGGATCAATGTCGTGCATTTGCTGCATCTTCACCACGATAATTGACCAAGATAGCCAAACGCCAAAGCACGCAAAAAGATTTGGCATACTTATCAAAAGATTGCGCGTAGCGATCTTCTCCCCCCCCTCTACCTTCCACTGTTTCTCATCGTCTGGATCCCATGAACTCAACTTGACCTTGGGAAGAGGACACCAACCGAGAGACTTTTCAATTGACGCCAGATGCTTGCCCTCGCCACCACCTTCAACATCCGCACCACCGTTGTGGGCCGATGACAACCTCATGGTCGAGCTTTGTTTGTACATGGATGCACAGATTGTGTTTGGAAATCAGCAAACCAAAATAACTGAATGGAGAGTTGAATCAAAGGAATTGCCAATCAAACTGGGGGGCTGGTTTCAAGACCTTGGCGGCAGTTCTGGATCAATGGGTCCGTATTGCTGAAGTTCTAGTTGTAGAGCTGACAATAACGTACGGTATGGATGAATAGGTAAGCCTTGGCCACTGGTCAGCAACAATCGACTACTATTAGAATAGAAGATCTCGCTTCAGTTCTTTTCCTCGATAGCTACTACTACAAGTGCTTTGTGTGATAGTGCGCCAAATGGGAACCGGGAATCCTGGCACCTCCCGCGAGAAAAAAAAGAGAAAAAGAAGAAGGGCTCGTCGGCTCGTCATTGAACCACTTTCCACTCGCAAAGGCTCCGAGTGATGACTGCGTGGCTGCCAGTAGACAATGAGCAAATGAGCGCTCTAAGGCCTAACACGACCGCTACCAGTACAAAACCTGCCGGTTCGTTCCTGTAAAAACAGTCCAGGGCGAGGCAGGCTCGACTTAGAGCGCCCGCGAATAAGTTCAGTTGGTCATTCCAGCTCTTTCAAGTTCTATCGACTGTGCTGCCGTACAGTACCACAGCAGTACTGGAGAGTTTCTTTATTAAGTAAGTCTTAGTTGAAGGTTCAAGGAACTACCGGTAGAAGGAAGGTCACTTTCTGACGATGTTCTCCTGTAAGACTTTATATCAATTGCCATATTACCATGTGTGACGTTTTGGCTGACTCGACTCGACTCAGAGATGAATCACCGAATCACCTTCTCCCAAGTTTGGGTTAAAAGCTGCTCGGAAAGCTGTGTGATTTTCTAGAACGTTGCTGGATTGTTTTACCCTATCTTTGTGTCTTTTCAATGATAGAATGAGAGAACGCCGATCGTGTGGCCATTGTGAACTTGCAGAACTGCTTTTAGGATTTAATAAACTTAGAGAAAGAAAGGAGCCCAAAAATGATTTAAAGTTGCATACAGACATACAGACTGATGAAGTGATGCATTAGTGTTTTGCTCCAGTTTTCTAGCTACTGTAGTGAGGTGCAGGGGCAATAAAGTCGTGTTTGGTCATTATGTCTCCTGAACTCCTGAAGCAACTTCTTCATCCCGCAGCAGAACATGGTTGTGTCTGTGCGAACCATTTTTCTTCTTCCTCTTCCATTCGGGTAGATTCCGGCACTTGCAGCTGTTCGAAGCCTCTGTAAAATAGATGATCATCCGAGAATTCTGCACGCCCCACAACCAAAACTCCGCCGTCGTCTGTTTTCACTTCCAGTTTCCAGACCACAAAGCATGCAAGATCCGGTGCTGAGAGCTGAGGCATCTTCATCCCTTGCATTACCGGTGTCGTCTTTCAGCAGTTCTTGTGTCAACGCGTTGCTTCGGGTCATTATCATCATCCCTTTATCCCTTTATTAACCTCCCAACTGCACTTTTGTTCATGCGATAGGAATAGATTTTAAAAGGCACCAAGCAATCGAGACAGAGTCACTTTTTCGGTCCTTGGAGACCATACAGCAGCGTCCAGCGTCCCTTTACACCTCCAAGTCTTCTTCCTCCCGGCATTCCCCTGAGCCTCCCCAGCCATCCTCTACAAGACGTCCTCTACCGGTACAAGCTAGCTAGCTAGAAGGCAATGCAGACGATGGAGACTGCGCCTGAGAACTCCTTCCACGACGAACTAAGTGACGCGTCGTCACTCCATGAGTGTGATTCCTCGGCGTATGATAATACATCGAGCCATAGGAATGGCGATACTACCAACAGCAACAGCAATGGGAGCAGTACGGACGACAGTCCCACCACGGGCATTGCCAAGGACGAGACTGTCGCCGTCTTTCGATTGCGTGTGATTGTCATTCTGGTACTGATTGCCACGGCAGCGGTGGTATCCACAGTGGTGTTGAATATCACCCGCATGGGCGAGATGGACGGCTTCCTCACGCAGTACGAGGGAGCGTCACACATGGTGCAGTCCGCCTTTGGAGAGATTATTGAAAAGTTGTCAGTGATCAGTGCCTTGGCTGTGGTAGAGCAAGATGATGACGAGAAAGACGCCAACCTAACCGGAAAAGACTGGCCGTTTCAGACTCTCCATAACTTCAAGGAGCGTGCGGCGAATGTCAGGTACATGTCGTCCGCTCTCTCCATCAATCTATGTCCCATTGTGACTGTCGACAAGAGAGAGTTCTGGGAACTCTATGTCAATGGGGAAGAAAGTGCTTGGATGTGAGTGACACCAGACCAGCTACTAGCTAGCTGGGCTTCGTCTTTCATTGTACTAACAATGTATGTTATTTGCTTGCTTCTTGCACAGTCCCCATGCTTGGGACTATCAGGAACAATTGGGATTGAACGGGTTCGAGACAAACCAAGAGCTTATTGAGATGAGCACTCTCACCAACGCTACGGTCGACCCCATCAAGTACTTTGACGACGACGGACAAGCCCACCTTCTACTCAGCGATGGCCCTTATCTTCCAGTCTGGCAGACCAGCCCGCTCCTCCAGAGACGCATGATCAACGAAAACGTCTTTAGCAAAGGCAATGAATCCAACATTGCCATGAGTGCCATTGAAGGCAAAGAGGCCGTCCTTGGTGGCTTTGTAGCGGCTCCCTTTGGCGAACCTTCACACTCCAATCCTCTCACGTCCATGTTCGCCACGCTACAAAGTATCGCAGAAGAGAACGCCACACACTATCTGGGAGAACCAATGTCCTACTTCTACGTCCCCATCTTTGACACTACTAATTCCAATTCACAATCTAGAAACGTGGTGGCTGTCTTGGAAGCCATTCTGAACTGGAGGTACTTCTTCCAGAATGCGCTCAAGGATTCCATCCCTGCGATTGTCGCAGTCCTCAAAAACTCGTGTGGGGAGACATACACCTACGAAATCCAAGGAGAAGAAGCCTACATTGTCGGATTTGGTGACCATCATGATCCCCAGTATGACGAGTATGAGCGAACGGCATCTTTTGACAGCATGCATCTGCGGGATGGTACCGTGTCTGGAGTCTTTATTAGTCAAGACCACGGATGTGTCTACACGGTTCATGTGTACCCTACCCATATCTTTTTGACCACCTACAACACCGACACTCCCCTTGCCATTACCTTTGCCATTGCTGTGGTATTCGTCTTTACCATTTGCATGTTTGTCCTCTACGACCGACTCGTCGAGCAACGTCAGAGCATTGTCATGGCACAGGCTGCTCATACAACGGCTATCGTGTCCTCGCTGTTCCCCAAGAATGTGCGCGACCGTCTACTAGCTGCGGGAGATCGAAAAGATGGTGGTACTAGTATCTTCTCCTCCAACAAGTCGCGTCTCAAGGGTTTCCTCGATGATGGAAACAGCGCAAACGATGAAAGCAATGATCAACCCATTGCCGGTATGTACTTACTTTTGTTGTTCTTGAGTCTATTGTTCCCGCATTCTGGCCCGTGCCATCTCACCACTGGCTTTGTCCTGTTTGCAATGCGCATGTTATGTGATCAGACCTCTTTCCGGAATGTACTGTCTTTTTTGCTGACATTGCCGGATTCACTGCCTGGAGTTCTACCCGTGAACCAGAACAAGTGTTCATTCTGTTGCAGACTGTTTATCAGCACTTTGACCAGCTTGCCAAGCGGAGGAAAGTGTTCAAGGTGGAAACAGTAAGTAGCACCTGAATTCCTCTCCTTGAATGTTCTACTTTTCGCATGGTGCTGAGCTAAACGCTTGTTGCTTCAGATTGGTGACTCCTACATGGCCGTCACAGGTTTGCCCGAGCCAATGATCCACCACGCTGTGACAATGGTCCGCTTCGCTTGGGATTGCCGAAACGAGTTTCATCGTGTGACCAAAGATCTTGAAAGCACCCTTGGCCCCGATACAGGTATGTTTAGGCAGATGGGGCAGCAGCTGTCGTGTTCCAGCTTTAAAAAGTCTCAACGGTAGTGTTTTTTGTTTTCCTAATTGCACAGCTGATCTCGCCATGAGATTTGGGCTTCATTCTGGACCTGTTACAGCTGGGGTTTTGCGCGGAGATCGCGCTAGATTTCAGCTATTCGGTGACACTGGTAGGTTTAGCCGTGTGACGGGGATGAATATCTTTTAGAACATGCTGGTTTTCTAAATCCTTTTTCACCTCTTCTTGATTCACAGTCAACACAGCATCACGAATGGAAAGCACGGGTCAGCGTGATCGGGTTCAAATTTCGAGCACAACTGCTGAACTGCTCATTGACGCCGGAAAGGAGCCATGGCTGAAGAAGCGAGAAGACGAGGTACACGCTAAAGGTAGGCTTGCACAACCATCTTAGCTGACGTTTTGTCTCTTGCGCAGTTGTAGCTTACTTGTTGACTTTTCGTTCTCAAAGGCAAGGGATTGGTTGTGACGTACTGGGCCAACCCCAAGGGAGTGCAAAGCTCGGTTGGGTCTGGTTCGGATCTCAGCGACGAAAACAGCAACGGTGAAAAGGTTTCTAAACCAGTCTTTTCGCATCAGCAATCCAGTTTGGTGAATCAACGCCTCGTTGACTGGATGGCTGACCTATTGCTCGACCAAACGAAGAAGATTGTGTTCTCTCGCCGCAAAACAAAGGACAAGGGAAGTTCTGGTGGAAAAGCTCCGAAGTACTTCCCAATGGAAGGAACTACTTGTATGGACGAAGTCAAGGACGAGATCGAGATGCCAAGCTACAACGCCAAAGCTACCGACGCCAACCGTGAATACAGAAACGTCCGGATAAACAGTATCGTCGTTGCGAACCTCAGGGAATACGTCAACCGCGTCGCGCAAGATTATCGACACAACCCCTTCCACAATTTCGAAGTACGTATCAGCCATGTGCACCAGTGTGAAATGCTCGTTTCTTGCGTTCGCCATGAACTCACCCTTTCCGTCCTCCCTACCAGCATGCATGCCACGTTACAATGTCAGTGAATAAGCTCTTGAAGCGAATCGTGACACCTGAACTATCCGCTGAAGAGCTGCAAAAGCTTCGCAAGGTGGACGATCTGGCGGCTCATGTGCATGATTACACTCATGGAATCAATAGCGATCCATTGCTAGGTCTGGCCATTACAATGAGTGCCCTCATTCATGATGTTGGTACGTTGCTTGAAGATCCAAGACTCCGTGTTGTTGGTTGGAGCGGAACTCACAAAACCGTCTCTTGTCTTCAGATCACCGAGGTGTATCCAACACCAGACTCATTGAAGAGGAGCCCGAGATGGCAAACAAATATCACAACAAATCTGTCGCTGAGCAGGTAGGTTGACCCGATGCTTCTCTGTGCTCGTTCTTCCACTCCAGTTCCCCAACTCACTTTGTTTCGTCCTCCTGTGCAACCAGAACTCTTTGGACATTGCATGGGACATCTTGATGGAGGATGGATTTGATGAACTGCGAGCTGTGCTCTTCCCCTCTCAGTTTGAACTGATGAGATTCCGTCAGTTGCTTGTCAATGTGGTTCTTGGTAAGCCTGGGATGCCTAAGTCGTTCTACTGCGGTTTGCTGGCACACATCTCACGTTGAAACTATACTGTTCCGCCACTCTCAGCTACTGATATCATGGACAAGCAGTTGAATGATCTGCGCAAGAGGAGGTGGGAACGTGCCTTTGCAGATGGTAAGAAGGAAGAAACTGTAAAAGACACGAACCTTCGAGCTACCATCGTTATCGAACACATCATTCAAGCCTCCGATGTGTCCCACACGGTAAGTCAACTAGACAGCATGGTCCACACCCTGCCACGAACATCTTGGGACTCACTGGATTCCCTTCTGCTGCTTATCACTTTCAGATGCAACACTGGCATGTCTATCGCAAGTGGAACCAACGCCTCTTTGAAGAGGTCTACAAGGCGTACCAGGATGGCAGGATGGAGAAGGACCCCAGCGAAGGCTGGTATAAAGGAGAGATAGGATTCTTTGATTTCTACATCATCCCTCTTGCTAAAAAGCTGAAGGAATGTGGTGTATTTGGAGTATCTAGTGACGAGTACTTGTCCTATGCGATGCAGAACCGCAACGAGTGGGAGTGCAAGGGCAAGGAGATTGTTGCCGAGATGCTGGAACAAGTTAAGAATCCGGGCATGGAGGCTTAGCTAGCTAGGTGATTCCAATAGTTTGGGGCCTGGTCAGCCAGTTTTGATCGGGGCTATACTTAAAATTCTATTTTCGATTTGATTGAATTATGCTACAGTATTGAAACCACCAATGCTTGGGGTTGCTGACTAGATGGAACTCAAGATTGGGAAACGCAAGATCCAAAGGGTATTATCACACACCCAATGCGAACTCCACATCCAAAGCAACAAGCTGAATGAATACTGTAGACTCAACTCACCACTGGCTAGCTAGCTAGCTAGTTGTGCTGGATTTGTACAAGCACAATAAGGAGGCAAAGTTGCTTGGCATCATTGCACACAGGGGAGTTGCGGGAATACGTGTATTAACAGTTTGCCAGGTTCTCAGTGTTTTGTTTTGGAAGAATGACTGAAAATAGTAGAATGACACAATCCGGAAGAATGACACAATCTGGAAGAATGACACAATCTGGAAGACTCTACGTAAAAACACGTAGAAATAAGTACCAGATGACGTAATCTGGAAGAATGACGTAATATGGAAGAATAACACAATCTGGAAGCATGACTCAAAGTGGAAGATTAGCTCTAACTAGCAGTTTGACCCAAACAATGTGCAGGGAAAGCCCATTCCCCGCAACTCCAGGGATAAGGATTGCAAAGTTTCGTGCAATTGCGTTCGCACCGGAGTCAGAATTTTGACAGTTTCAAAAAAGGGAAATTAAGCCACGTAGCAACCAAAATGGTTATATTTTGTAACATTATACTCTTTTACTCCTTTGTTGCATAATTTGGTCCATTTTTGAAAGTTAAATGTGTCGTCAGACTTTTTTGTTTGACACCAACAGCTGGTGTCAACAATCCAGCCAATCACAATGACCGGAGGGTTCTCATTTCAGGAGCCAAATAAGATTCAGTTGGATCTTCGAGAGGGAGGCAACGGCCCCAAAGATCCAGCGCAAGCAAGGCTTCGCATCCATTGGGTGGAAGAGGAAGATAGATCCTCCCTGGAACGAAACGCAACCACTTTTGCCACAAAACCACGATTTCGTGTTGAGAATCCTTTCTTTTTCTTCCTCTCTTTTGAACAACCTTCACCATGCCTACCAACTTTGGAATCAATGGATTTGGACGTATCGGACGTCTTGTGATGCGTGCCGCCCTGGACCATCCTGGTAAGAAATAGTTTCTGGAGATGGGTAGTCTGTATTTTAATTTTTAATTTTTTGGTTCGGTTTGGTGACAATGGGATTTCGGATGAACGGCAGTTCGTTATCAAACCTTTCAACCTTCAACAATTGACTCACTTAGCATATGTTGTCTTGGTTTATTATTTTCTTTCATCAGATGCCGATGTTGTTGCTGTCAATGACCCCTTCTTGTCCCCCGAGTATGCTGCCTACCAATTCAAGTATGACTCTGTCCACGGACAATACGCCGGTGAAGTTACCCATGGAGATGGCTGCTTGATTGTTGGCGGAAAGACTATTAAGTTTTTCAACGAACGCAACCCCGAAGAAATCAAGTGGGGAGAGGCTCGAGCCGACACTGTATGTGAATCCACTGGTATCTTCACCACCATTGCCAAGGCTGAGGCTCACTTGAAGGGTGGATGCAAGCGCGTTATTATTTCTGCCCCCTCTGCTGATGCCCCCATGTATGTCATGGGTGTCAACAACACTGAATACGCCGGAGCTACCATTATTTCCAATGCCTCTTGTACCACCAACTGCTTGGCTCCCCTTGCCAAGGTGTTGCACGAGGAATTTGGAATCGTTGAGGGTCTCATGACCACCATCCACGCTGCCACTGCTACCCAGATGGTCGTTGATGGACCCGCCAAGGGAGGAAAGGACTGGCGTGCAGGACGTTGTTCCATGAACAACTTGATCCCATCCTCCACTGGAGCTGCCAAGGCTGTCGGAAAGGTCATTCCTTCCCTCAATGGAAAGCTGACGGGTATGTCTGTCCGTGTCCCAACCGCCGATGTCTCCATGGTGGATCTTACCTTCCGTACCGAGAAGGGTGCCTCTGGTGACGCTGTCAAGGCTGCCCTCAAGAAGGCTGCCGAGGGTCCCTTGAAGGGAATCCTTGGATACACTGAGCTTCCTGTTGTCTCCCAAGATTTCGTCCACGACTCCCACAGTTCCTTTGTGGATGGGGCCGCTGGAATTGCCCTCAATGATCACTTCCACAAGGTGATCTCCTGGTATGGTAAGTACTACACTGACATCTCCACATCGACGTGTTTTTATATTGGATGAAGATCACGGCACTAACTCTGAACTCTGCTTCTACTTTTTTCCATAATACAGACAACGAATGGGGATACTCCAACCGTCTTGTCGACCTTGCCATCTTCTGCAACAGCAAGTAAACGAAGGGCCTTTGCTGAACTATACCACCAGTGCCTTCCAACAAAAAGGAGCATGCGATTGGGTGATGCTGAATAAACGATTCTTTTGTTCTTGAACGAAGGTGCATTTCCTAGATGGTTTGAGTAATCCTATAGTTTATCTCTTTTCCTGGATAACCGCTTGCACCTCGTCTACAATCAGTGACAACTACTATGTAGAAGTACTACGTAGTTTCTTGCCTCTCAGGAGGCTAGTGTGGCCGGTGAGCAGACCTTGATTGTGGGAAACCCCCGGTCCTGGGCTCGTGGGCCGTCCTCAAGCACTTCTTGTCTGAATCCGTTATTAACAGACGCTCAAATTTTGTTTTATTGCAAGGGAACTGGCCGCAGCGGTCATGGACTCGATGCCTCGAGCCAAGGTTGTTGTTCATCCCTGGACTAATCTCAAGAGTTCTGAACTGCCGAACTTCATTCCAATCCGTCACGTCACCCCCTTTGGACTTGCTCTGTTTTGATTGATCATGGTGTTCCGGATCTGTCTCGTGGCAATTGATACGTAAGCTTTGCTGACAAGGCGACAGGGTGACAAGGATGTGAGAAAAAACAATGCAATAACAAAGAAGAAAAGAATGCAAATGAGATGAGCTCGATCAATTATTCTCGCGAATGATGAACTCTGTGCCGGCTGACGTCACTGCCATCATTCATTATTTGATGGACGATCGATCATTCACGACAACAGCTGTACTTGCCAAGTGTATTTTTTAAATGGTCTACTCCAATCGATGGCATACTGCTCCCAGCATTCACCATCATTTGTATTGAGTTCCCCAAGAGCCATGATAACCACGACGAAGAGATGGGCGCCTTCTTGGTCGAGCCTACTCCTGCTGTTAGTTTGTGGTGGTAACGTTGTCAATGCAATGCCATTATTCCACGGGATCCAACGGACCGCCTTTGCCGCTCCAGCTGGAGGTGGCTTTGGTGGAGGGGGCGGGTCTGTGAAGAAAAGCAAGAAGAAAGCAAAGACGAAAAAGTCCAAAAGCCTTCTATCTGAAGTGGAGGTTGTCAAGACTTCTCCCAAGAAATCGAATTTGGATACTCCTGACAATACGCAAGCAGGGGAGCCCAAACTGGACAAATGGGGACTTCCCGTCCCCACAACAGATGATATTTTCCCTCCCATGCCACCAGGGACCGAGCTCATTTCAGTCGACAACACAAAAGAAGAGGTTACCTTGTCGGATATTAGCAATGCTCTGAAAAATCACATTGAACTCTCCAAGCTCACGGAACGCTTCGACGAACAAGGCGTGGAAAAGGGAGATCCAAAAGGCCGACCGCCCATGAAATTGGGGCTCCTTCATCGGTCTCCTCCCGTGTTGACGGTGGAAAACTTTTTCACCAAAGAGGAATGTGAACAGGTGCAAAACGTGGCTCTGGCATCCGACGAAAACGGACCCGTGCAGGTACAATCGGCTACCTTTTCGGCTCTGGCACAATCCAAACGCACGTCTACTTCGTGGTTTTGCTACTATTCACAAGTCCCAACATTGTTAGCCAAAGCACGTCACGTACTCGGGATACCCACCCTGGAACAAATGGAAGAACCTCAAATTGTTCGCTACAAGGTAGGCGAAGAGTTCTCCTGGCATTACGATGAAGTTCCAGGCCCGCAACTCAAGAATGGAGGACAACGCTTGGCAACACTGCTGGTGTACTTAAATGATGTGGCACAAGGAGGAGGAACTGTGTTCCGAGACTTGCAAGATGGCAGCACGGGAGAGATGCTGACCATGCGACCAAAGCTTGGATCGGCTCTGCTGTTCTTCCCCGCCTTTGGGGATGGAACACCGGATGATAGGACATTGCACAAAGGAGAAGTCGCCGGAGACGAAAAGTGGATCATTCAAATGTGGATCCACGAACGAGGGTATGTCGCTTCTTTGCCAGAGAGCAATTATCAGGAATCAGCACAACAATCTGTTAATGATGTGGCAGCCTCATTGGGCTACAGATAGCTAAAAAAAGAACGATTCGATTCCACCCAGCAGACAGATTCGACAATCGCACTGTATGAAAAGATTAGTCTTACTGTATAATATTACACAAATTCATTGGCAGCGGAAGAAGATCGAGGAAAGAAGCCATCCAATCCTAATGACATCAAGCTTGCATAATCCTTGACATGACGTCTCAGATGCGACAAGAGTTCTCCGTCCCTAAAAACGACTGGTATGCGAATTGTGACACTGTTTTCATGGTGCAGAGAAATGGCAAATCCATCATTGGCCATTATGTCTCCTTTGGTTCGACGTTTCCGTTGTTTGTAGAGTGCAGAGGCAGAAGTGTTGAAACTTCTTGCTGGCATCAATGTAATGACTGCAGATTCCCACATTCTGCCAAGGTTTTCCAACTGCAGTTCGTCAAAGTGTTCATCGAGCAACAATGATAATCTCCTTATAGCCACCAGCTGCATGATGGGATCCACACCCTCTCCTATATCATTTGGCTGATGCTCTTGTTCTTCTGCTACACGAACCTTGGAAAGCATCTCGGCAATATGTGCCATGCGTCGATGTGGATCATCTCGAATCAATCCGTCCGTGGCCATATTGGCCTGTACATCTCTCACTGTTTCCTTGTATATTTCCTCGTATCGGTTCCAATCAATTCTGGAAACGATTTCATCTCGATTGCGTTCATACTTTTGTTGCCTTGCAAACAAGAGGTCCCTCCGGGTGCGCCAACCCAGTAGGGGTTTTTGCCCTCAACTACCAGCTAGCAAGCTGAGGACCGTTTGAACTTTATCTTGTCTGTGTGTGTGTGTCTGTGTGCTTGCACCCTGTTTGCCTTCAACTACCAGCTAGCACCCGGAGGGACCTCTTGAACTTTATCTTGTGTGTGTACGTTGAGTGCTGTGTGAGATGTGTGATGTTGTGTGAGATGTGTGTAGATACTACTAGAGTTAATCTACGAGAATCTACCATTGATATGTTTATCCATGGGGTATACCGTTGCTTGCTGATTTCCAAATTCTGAGCTTAAGAATTTCGCTGTTTGCTTCATCAGTGGAGCAAGCTGGGATGGCAAAAGATACAACCGGGTAGGCTGTGAGAAAAACAAGGGTACCCTGTTTGTGGTGATTTCAAAAATAGACACTTAGGAGCTGGTACGGTATATACCGAAACCAAGCTAAATAAACGTAAATCCAATACCTCGATGG